ATCCGACCGGCAAAAGGCCCAGGGGACGGCCAAGATTAACCTGGTGCAAACATATTGAAGGAGTCTGTTCGAGACTCCGTTTGTCTTTTGCCGAAGCTCAGACTCTGGCACAGCATCGGGAAGGTTGGAAGCTCTGTTTGACGCGTCTACCTTCGCTATCCGAAAGGAGAAGCGGCGATTGAAGATGAAGAAGATGAAGATGAAGTTCCTCCTATAGGAGCTACAAGACAACCAGGCATTGTTTCAAAATTAAATTTGATAAATATTTTGGTCAAAAAGCATACTAAACTCTGGTCAAACAACTTGGAACAATCTACTACTCTCCAATTCGCAATGAGACGTCTCTCTCCGAAGTGTTAAACCGTCTCAGGTTACCTATGCTTTGATGATGAGCCTTAAAATGGTTAAAGGTTCAGGGTGTGGCAGAAGGGATTCTGATTAGCATTTCATAACCAGAGTTACTGAAGTGCAGTAGAAACAGTTCTGCCAAAAAACCTCAAGGTCACCTGGGTACCGCTTTAAAATGATCCTTTTTCCATTTCTGCCATATTTCTCCACACTACAGGAGTTGCGTGAACAACGTTTTAGCATTAACCCTCTACAAAGTGTTAGGGAGCTGGAACACTGTTGTTTACTCGTTAATTGCTCGCCTTCAGCAGTCATCAAATCTCAATCACTTCATCAGTTGATTTTATAATCCAGTAATAATTAATGCTTCAAAAGTGCAATTACAACAGATATTACGTTTGTTTTTCCTTCTGATGCTTTTATTAAGCCATGGCAGTTTTTCATCTTTCAATATCTATTTACAACAATCGCTGTACTTATGAAATTAGACCATGTTACTGCAGAAAAACATTAAGTTCAAATTGGATTTCATAAATAATTTACTGAGATAAAGATATATTGTTATACTGATTTAAGCTTTTTGAGAGCATCGAAGAATGCACGATCATTCTAACCCAGCACAAAATTTACAACGGTTCGAGTACACAATGTAGAAACCAACCTGCAGAATGTATCGAACATGGAATATATGCGCCTTCCGTCGTTTGGATGCGGAACCTTACTGGGATCAAATTTATATGTTAAATTTGATAGCGTGGCGGTACTAGTTGTATGCATCTGTAGAAGTTACGTTTATTTTAGATTGAGAAGAAAGAAATATACATCGCAATGCAGTAGCTAAATATTTTATTAATGGTGGAGCATGGATTACCATTAGCCTTTCTTGCCGTCTATTCGTTTCGTTTTGAGTTTGTTTTGTACGCCATATGATTCTTTCTCTCTTTAGAATTTAACTTTACGAATTAGTTTGCTGGAGTCTCATTTAGTGACTTAGTTGTTTGTTATGCTCTACTCAGTAACAATTGAATCTTTATCGTCTGTTCTGCTTATACAATGCTGTTTCTGCACTGTTTTTGAGTTCTCCAGTTTGCAGCACATGGATATCGCCTCGAGTGTAATTCAGCGAATATACATGTTCACTGGACACTCCCGTTGCAGTAGGATGTTATTTTCATGCGGAAAATTATTAGCATCGAAGAGGAAAAACATGCAGTTATAAAGTCATATGCATAAACCTCTTTTCATGAGATTCGTTCGGTAAAGGCTCTGCGGCAATAGTTTTAGCAGCCATTTCTGAAGGCTAGTGTTCATGAACGCCTTCCAGTTGCAGAGTAAAAAACAGCTACCCCACTTTGCCGTTTGAATGGGTGAAATTGAGGGTTTCAATGGTTTTCTATCATCATTGTAGTGTGTCATATTGCGCCCTCCAGTGAATCTAATTGCTTTGTAAATACGATCTTGTTGCCAGTGCTCTCGTACTTTTTCAAAAGTGCCTCAGTCTCAGGAGACTACCATAACCTGTATATCCTTCAGTATTCTCTTGAAATGTGTATATTTTCAGAAAATGCTGCAATTTCTGTCTGGGAACAATGGAAGCGATTTCGACTTTGAAAGCGACCAGTCGGTTTCCCGGAGTCTTCACCTGGATTTCAGTCTTGAAGTTATTATTGACAATCTACTCACAATGTAGATCAGTTACAGTCTATGTAGACTTAATCCAAAGTTGGAAGACTGGCCGATGTCGACTCTCGGTGACCGTCAAATAAAACCAAGCAGAAGGCTGGGTCGGACCGTTCTTCCAGGGTCCTGAGTGTAAGAACTGTTGTCGAATCAGATAGCAAGTAGTATTTTTAACGAATTCATCCACCAGTCTCTTCCACATTTTGTCCTCAGATTAGTCTCT